CCGTGATGATGATGATGAGAGAGAGAGAGAGAGACATTTAAACTCCAAATTTACAGCAGGCGTCAGGGTCGGGATCGAACCCACGACCTCCTGTATACCAGGCGAGGTGGTTAACATCTCCTAGCCACTGTGCCACGTGGTCCGCGGGGCGAGTCTCGGAGCAACGCGATGGTGTATAAAAGTAAAAGTAAAACAACGAGTAATGCTCAGCCTACGACCAGATCACACTGCGGGTGTTCCGTGTAGCCTTGTGGAGGGCAGTGCGGAAAAAAAAAAACAGATTGCACTCCTGCCCTGCACATTAACTTTGCTCCAACGTGAATGCCCCACCTCTCTGCAGTGATCAGCGTATCGTCAAATAACGCGCACGGTGTGGGGAAAGCCCCCATCCAGCAGCGGATTGATATGTACGCGTTATACTCTAAAGGCTGGAAAACTTTAACCAAATGTGGAAGGAAAAAAATGTCAACGAGATTTGGAACTGTAAAAGCAGTAAAAGTGTTTAAAAGTTATTATAACGTGCACCTCTTTTGCAGATCACTGCTGGATAAAGGTCTCTCCCCATCGTGTTCGTCATTGCAACTGTTTGACCATGCTGGCCATTGTGGATTGCTTGGTGATAGTGAGGGGGGGGGGGGGGGTGTGCAGGACCGGTTCAGCTCTGCCTCGCCGTCCCCAGCCCTGGCAGCGCAGTGCAATAACCACTGCACCACCGTTACCCAATAGAAATAGTTGTTACAGTACGTGTAAATAAACAGACAGCCGTGAGGGCAGCTTTTGCCTGTTTCACTCCATGAGCGACCGACAAATTCCCCACACATTTTTTTAAAAACTCGGTTCTTGGTTCTCCGATCCATGCAGCTGTCACCTTGCCATGATTTAATTTGACGTGGCAAGCCGTAAATACCGCAACGGAGCCAGAGCGAATGAGCGAACTTGATTAACGGTGAAGCGGTCTAAGTGTATTTTTTTTTTCAAAACAATTGGGATTGCGGAGGACACAGTGGGCAAAAAAATGTCATCCGAACTTACGTAATATTTATTCCACGTCGAAGAACCTCCTAACTCAAACGTTGAGTCGCCAAGTTTTAGTCGTGGCTAGATAGCGGGGGGATCAAAGTGGTGCAAAGAACCTCTGGATGAATGAAAAACGCAAACACTCTGCCTCGTCTTGCACTTTGTACATTTGCGAGTCAGCGGCTGGCTTAGTTTTTAATGCACCCCAACGCAGTGCCGGATTATCCTGGTAGCGCAAGTAGCTACATATGTAGTAGTTACTGGCCCCGGACTTTCAAGGGCCCCGCGTTAAATGCTTACAAGTTCTTAGCTCTTTCGGTAAAGTCACGTTGAAGGGAAATAAGAATATGAATTACTGCAGTCACGAAAGCTTTAAATCAACATTTGCTTTCAAGTTATCAATTCCGGTTCAGTGATTCTGCACTTGCTCGATTACTGTAGTACTATACCGCCTTCAACTTTTACGAACGACTGGGTGTTTAAGGTTAGCGATTTGTCGTATTATCTGGCTGTATAGCAAATTAAAAAATACAATTACTTTACTATACAAGTAAAAAAATTGTGTTTTAATATTTACGTGTTTTTTTATTTACAGCCCCTTTATAACATATTTTTAAAGCCCAACACTAGCTTAATCCGGCACTCCCCCAACATGTGTTATTGTGAGCAACGTGGAACGTGGACCGATACAGGGTTGCAAGTATGGTTTATTAATTACAGGAAAAAAAAAGGTCAGTCGTTTTATGTATTACCCAATTTGTGTTATTCCAGTGAGACATTTAAAATAATTTTATTTTTACAAGGTTCGTCTCTGTTATCAAATGTCGTTCTCAGGGGGAGCATCTGTGCTCCTGTAGCTCAGCACATTCCCATATGTTTCCATTGCCGCACTAGGTTATAAATACACAACGTGTTAGTTACTTGGTGTTTATTTAGTGATTTCCCGCAATTGTATCTCATTTGTGATATCGTATATCTTGTCATTTGCCAAACCAGCCATTCTGACCTCTTTGCGGAGCAGCATATAACCCCCGTTGTTAGAGACCGGCCCGCGGAAGGAGACATCACAGATCTGCTTCTGAGATCTCTTTGAGCGGCCGCTGATCCGCGCACTCGGCAGTGATGCACTTTCTTACTGACCCCGAGAGAGATGTTCTCTGCGCGACGAACCAATGTGTACTTGGAACTCTGGCATTTATCCAAATGAAGTGCAGAACCAAACTAAATGACAGCTTTTTTGTTTTGTTTTGGCGCGCAGTCATTGAGACCATCGTCGCAGTACATTCGAGAAGTTGGTTGTAATCACGGGCAGCTGCCCGTGATTTGAACCCAGGAGCCTGGCGGGCAGTATCGTTTTTTTTATTTTTTACCCAACACTTTTAACGTCGAAGCGTTGTGCAACAGAACGCCGTAAATGACACTATTTTTAAAGTTTAATGATGCTGGCGGTGGACCTGCCCGCGGATAGACCGGCCGTCTGTTTGTGGGTCAGTGGAAATTAATCTCATTTCGAGACTCCGTCTCGCTCTGGGCGCACCTCAGAGAAGCGAGTTTAAGTGTGCTTTGTCTGTTCAACGCAAAGCAGGCCGCAAGCATTTACACCCGTCACTCTGTCGTGGGCGCGATCGGATAAACCTTTCAAGTTTATCTTATTGAATGATAGTGCATCTCGCGCCGCAGATAAGATTCGAACGTGGCCTTGTGTGTGGATGGTACTGCTGTAAACCGGGCTTGTTCCCTTAGCCAAAGGTCACACCTCACCGGTACAAACACAAGCCTTGCCTTATTGGTGCCCTCGGAGGCTGCGGGGGGAGGGGGGGGGCAATTTGCGCATGTCCCATCTGTCAAAGGAAGCGCGCAGTCGACGACACGGGAGCAGTGAGGAGGAGGAGGAGGTTTTTCTGTTTATTATGTATCGACGAGGTCGATGCCGTGGCGCGATTTCGAACAAAACGACCCTCCGATGTTGATGTCGCTGCCTCGGTGGGAAAAAAAATGAAGTGAAACGCGGAGCCAGAACACGGAAACGCGAGGTCGGGCGATGGGAACCTCCGTCGCTTCTTGTGCACGTCGCTCGGACCGCTGTTCGGTTTCTGCCCTGGTGCTTGACTGTTTAAAACAAAAAAAAAAATGTGTAGGCATTTGCAGTGCGTTTCGCGTTTGACGTTCGAAGCGAGCGTGTTTTGTGTGCCGGGTTGCGCGCCAACGGTCGCGACTTGCACGCGAGTGCGCGCGTGCTGACGGCGTCGTTCAAAAGCAGCTGACTTCAGACGCGTTTCCCGAGATGTTGAAACCCACTTTTTTAAAATAAATAAATAACTATAACTGGCTCCCCTGCAGTTTACATCAAATCTATTGGACACGCACCTTGATGCGTGCAATCTGGAAAACCACGAGATGCTTTTTAAAGAAAGTTTTTTTTTAATTAACGAGTTCACTCTCCCATGGAAAATAAGAGACCGCTGGCATTTTGAAGCTCTTCTCACAATCCTGTACTCGGATCGCTCAGTGTAACTTGCTTTCGACGTAATAAACTGCCAAGATAATATATATAATGTGTATTGTTAGGTTTCTTTTTCATTTTCTCGGATTTAAAGAATGCTCTGGCGAAGGAATTGCATTAACAGGAGCACACATCGAAAAGTTCGAGCGATTTTAAATGAACCATGTGGTCAGTCTTCTGCATTCGTTTCTGCCACCTCTTCGGTGTCGCTATTCTACGTCTTCTGAGCTTCTTCCGCCGTTTAACTTCAATCGGGTGTTCACTTTTTCCACGGAAAATCCCGTGTATCCAGTTACCCAGCTAGTTTCGGTAGCAATGGAGCCCAGCCAGCAGCCAGGCGGGAAACTTAAGGCATAGATTATCTAGCATAGTAGTGTGATATAGTAAACTTTGTAGTTAAACAGTAATTTCTCACAACCATATACGCGTGGAGTGTTGACGGGGTGGTTACTGCACTGCACTACAATACCAGAGGTCAAAGTTCAATTCATGGTCATGCACCTCTCTTGGCCCTCCTCTGAGTTATGAACACAGAAAGTTACCCGGTGCAACTTTGACCTGCTGCTAGCCTGAAATGTCCAGTGCCAGAACGCTCACTGATTAAACTGTTTTACTTTCTAACAATAGTTTTTTTCCCCAATAGTTTTTTTAAACAATACAAAATGTACACAAACTCTTAGTGAATGCCCCTATCAAATGAAATGCATTTTTCTTTTCAGAGTATGATATATGTTTTGTTTTTATAAAAAAAAACAACATACATACAGTCCCTTGCCAATACACTCTTAGATAAAGGCCAAACCACAGCCCGTTTCGTCACGGTGACAAGTTGTTTAACAGTAACCTGACCATACTTCCCCGTGCCGGTTCAGTGCCGGTTGTTAACCCCGACTGAGCACCAACATCGGCCCGCGAGCTTCTCACCGCACAGTCGGCCAACCGCTCCGCCGCCCGCACACATTCACCGTCGTGACGGTGGCTTAGATCGCCTAAACATGAATGTATCGTTAAACCCGACAGCAAATTAGAGCAAGGTTTGTCCCGTGAACAAAACGTGGCATGCAGTTACTAGTTCAGCACACCCGGGTGTGTTGGAGAGCAGACCCACAACGTTTACAATTCGAGTAATCCTGACGTTTTGCCGGTGATTTACAGCCGGCATCATCAGGCGTTAGCCAGAGTTGTGGGTAAATCCTCCTCCTGTTTCGATCTTCGATCATTAAATAGAGGGGGAGTAAATGTGACGTCATCACTGTGGACCAATCAGGCGCGAAGCTTAGAGTGGGGGTGGTGGGGGGGGTTAATGTAGCCATACGACAAATTTATATTTACGTGACCTAACCCAAGAAACAAAGAAACAGAAAAACCCTCTATGTTATGAATAATATTGGTTTGCGAAAGCCTACTAAACTATTTCTAACTCGTTTTCGTCAATAGATCGAATGTGCGAGCCTCGTGCTGCAACTCTTGACTCCCGCAGGCCATCTTCATGATACCCACCAACCCGCCACCCACCTTCCGGCAGCTGGAACTGTGGACGGACGAATTCGTGGATTTCGTCCGGAAGTGCCTGGTGAAGAACCCGGAGCAGAGGTCCACGGCCACCCAGCTGCTCCAGGTACCGGGTGCAAAACGGCCATCGGTTAGGAACGGTGAAAGTGGAAGCGCATTTGCCGTCTCACGCCACTGTTGGTGGGAAGGGGCCCTCCGGTTAGGAAGGAGCTCTAGAGAGCCTCTCTCCCTCCCTCCCACCAGAGCGTGATTTGGTCTACTCTTCCATGCCGGACAGACGTCTTGGAAGAGGTTTGAGTGACGACACTACCGTGGCCCTCGTACACGCGACTTGCAAATTGGACCGGCCGTTGATGGCACCCCGTGCATGCTGCTGGGTGGGACAGAGGTGCGGGCGGTGCGCGTGCGGAGGGTGGATTTAAAAAAAACAAAATCCGCACTATTTTTTCAACTGCCACGCAATGGAGAGTGACCTCTGGATTGCAAGTCCAGTGCGAGCTCACCATTACTCCGCGGCGTCACTAAAAGAATACGCGTGCGACCAGATTTAGTTCCTCCACAGGGAAATGTACGGGTTTTTTTTTTAATTGAAAAATAATTTGGGAGAAAAATATTGGACGGTTTGTTGTTCCTTCATTTAGTCAAGCATTACCCAGAGTATGACGAATTTAGTTTATCACGTAGGCTTTCGCGACCAATATCATCCATAATATAGTTTTTTTTCGGGTTATATCGCGTAAAATATATAAATGTGTCATTAAACAAATCTGGCTGTCGCCTGATGAAGCTAGTTGTAATCACTGGCGAAACGTCGTACTCAGATTGTAAATGTTGTGGCTTGGCTCTACAACACACCGGTGTGCTGCACAAGTAACGAATTGGCATGATCTGTTTACGTTACAAACCTTACTAATTGGCTGTGTCGGATGGGGCGGGTTTAACGACACATTTATATATTTACGCGATCTAACCCAAAAACTTGCATTATGGATATTAATAACTTATGTGCACCCAGTATGAGTATCTTAATTCTGGAGTGTCCCGACAGATGGTCTGCTGACCAAAGGGCTGTGAGGTTTCAATTGAGACTCACTGATGACGACCAGAACAATTAACCCCTAGAACAAGTCACCTCCGATCAGTACGGTGCGAAAAAAGTTCAACATATATACATACGTACAACATACATACATGCATACTTCAGCAACAATTGCTGCCATTTGAAAATAATGTGCAATTCATAACGGGGATAGTATGTATTTACTTCCTTAGGGATAGGTGGAAAATTAATTCAGAGGTGGGGGAAACCACAGGCAGTTGGAACCGATACCAACAACTGCCCAAGCTCTGTGATCCTATTTTGGGATGTTTTCCCAACTCACCCCATGTGTCCCAATCTCTTTAACTCGCGCAAAAAAATTGTGGCCATGGAGATCCCAAATCCGTGTTGCAAAACAACCAACTCAAGCTCGGTAGCCTCTGAGTTCAAGAACTGTCGAGGTTTGTCTCAGTCCATCATCCATAAGAGGTGGATAAAATTAGGACCATATTCATAAAGTGATCCCATGAACAGACTTCTCCCCATGATCTGAATATGGAATTTCCACCCCTGTCCTCAGGGTAACCCACACAGCGATGAGCACAAGCCAACGCTCGTGTGAGCAGGGGACGCAGTGATGTTTCTGGAAGCTAAAATATTTGACGTACATTGCGCAAGAGGGATGATTCTCAAATTCAGGGGAGGCTTTCCATTACTCTGGAGGGTGTTTACTCAAATGCCCTACCTGTGAATTGTCAAGGTGGTTTTTGGACCTTGGGATTGTATCTTAACGAGGGTCTGCACCTCGAGTTGGCTCTCGGGACTGCGTCTGAATCTGGGTCTGTGGGTTAAACGGTGATGGAGGCAATCTGCGGTTTACAAAAAATAAACCTCCCTTGTAGCTTTTACTGGCTGTTGCAGCACGAGCTGTTAGCGGGCACCTATGAAGTTCGATACGGCACAAGACGGAGTGGTGTGGCCAAACACCACGCCCAGCCACCTTTGTCTCCCCAGCGCTACTGTTTTAACACGCCGCACCAGGCAGTTAATTATGGCTAAGTCGACCTAGCAGAGGCCCCAGGACAGTTTCAGATGCGACTCACACAAACCGGCGTCAGCAGCGGTGCCGGAAAAAACCCAACTCTGACCCGCCCGAGGTTCGTAGCGAATCGCGCTCACCTCTGTGCCGCCGCTGCCCATGAGGAGCTCACGCGCGCTCACGTGGGCACGGAGGGGGATGGCGTTGGTGGACACAGCGGGGGTCGAGGAGGGGGCCGAGTTGACGAGCGTCCATTGGTTATTGGGCTATTGTGCCGCTCGCCGGGTCGCCGCTCAGCTGTCGCCGTGTGCGCGCGTGTGTGTGCGTGTGTGTGTGCGTGTGTGTGTGCGCGTGTGTGTGTGTGTGTATGTGTGCGTGTGTGTGTGTCTGGCAAAACAACCCCCTACCTCCTCGCGGTGCCGGAGGGGCAACTCTGTCGTGGACACTGCTGTGGGGGGAGGGTCAATTCCGATTGGCTCCTCCTCTCATGGCGTCTGTGACCACCACAGTGGCTAAACGGGGCTCTGGACGGGTGCGAGGGGCTGGTAACCCCTCCACCTTCAATAAATTACCACGAAACCACGAATTAAATATGTAACTAATAAGCTTGTGCCGTTGGCCCCGGAAGGACAGGCATCTATGACATCTCCTGGCCAACCCCCAATTGGTGGAGCAAGGAGATTGAATCTCTACACTCGGGGCTCCTCCAGAAACAACGAAAAGCCACTTCGTGTGGCCACTTGGAATGTTCGAACGCTCACTGCGGAGGAGAGGCTGCCAATCCTCTGTCGGGAGCTGGACCGGTACCGCCTGGATCTCTGTGGCATTCAGGAGGTCCGGTGGACCGGTTCTGGCTCCTGCGACCATGAGGGCTGGACAGTCCTCTACTTGGGGCAGCAGACTGCCAAACAACAGGGTGTGGCTCTTCTTTTGAATAAAAGAATGAAGGGGGCGTGGGAGCGTGGCGGAGAGGTGTGGGAAGCTGTAAGCCCCAGGCTACTTTGGGCTTGCCTTCCCATCAACCGGAGGCGAGGAGTGGTGATCGTGGTTACTTATGCCCCCACCGAAGACGAACATCCGTGGAGGGATGCAGGCAAAGCCGATGAGTCAGATGCCTTCTATGACCTCCTGTCACAGGTGCTGGCTAAAGTGGCCCCTCGGGATAGAGTCATCTTGTTGGGTGACTTCAATGCCCGAGTTGGTCATGATGCTGGCACCTGGTCTGGAGTAATTGGAGGGCATGGGCCAGATCAGCTCAATAACAACGGTAGGAGGTTGCTAGATTTTTGTGCAGCCCATGGGCTTGTAATTACCAACACGCTGTTCTGGCATCGGCGCATCCACACAACATCATGGATGCATGCCGGGTCCAAGCAAGAACATCTGCTGGACTACATAGTGACGGACCAGCGGATGCGAGCCCATGTCCTTGACACCAGGTCCTACCGTGGAGCTGATCTGCCCTCTGACCATCGACTTGTCATCTATAAGATGCGCCTGCCATTCGTCCACTCCGGTGGTGGGTGTACACCAGGCCCCATTCCAACCTAAAGTGGCCTGGTCTCAGTTAGCTGATGAAAGTTGCAAGCGAGAATTTCATCATCGCTTGCGGCTGGGGTTGGCATCGTCCCCCACTCCTCCTGATGTCGAGGTTAAATGGGCGAGGTTTAGGACTGTGACTCATGCAGCTGCAATGGCTGCTTTTGGTACATGGTCCAGACCTCCCCAGAGACCCTGGCTGACAATGGAGTTGTTCAGGATAGTTGAGAAAAAGCGACAGGCCCACTGTCATCGGCTACAGAATCCCACGTCAGAGAATGAGGAGGCTTACCGCAGCCTTTGCTCGGAGGTTCAGAGAGCCGTGAGGCTCTTCAAGGATGGTTGGTGATCGCGGGTTGCTGAGGAGATGGAGTCTGCCTCAATCGTCCGCGATCACAAATCTCTATTTAATTCCATCAAAAAAGTAACCTGCAGCGCCACACCTATTACCATCATTAGGGGAAAAAAACAGTGATCCAATCTCCGACCCCCAGGAACAGGTTTGCAGATTTGCTGAGCATTTCTGAGGTCCTGGGGGAGAGGAAATCCCTCAGCAAGGAAAACATCGTGGCACAAAGTGGGGATGACCCTGCTGAGGCTGGGGCGCCTCAAATATTGGAAAAAGTCACCCCCTGTGAGTGGCTGGCTGAGGTGCCATCTGTTAAGGAAGTACTGAAGGCGATCCGGAGTCTGAGACCAGGAAAGGCACCGGGCAGAGACGATCTCCCAAGCGAAATTCTGAGGGAGGGTGGCGTTTGCGCACAGATTGCCCTATATGACATCATAACAACAGTCTGGACCACTGGACGGGTTCCACAGGATTGGAAGGATGCCCTGGTGGTCCCCCTCTTTAAGAAGGGGGACCGCACAGACTGTAACAACTACAGGGGCATCTCACTCCTCAGTGTGCCGGGAAAGGTCCTGGCAAGGATTATTCAACATCGCCTTGCCAGGCACGCTGAGGAGAGGCTTGCAGAGCCCCAATGCGGTTTCAGGAAAGGGCAGTCCTGCACAGATGCCATATTTTCTGTCCGTCTGTTACAGCAGAGGTGTAGGCAATTCCAACAAGACCTAAATCTCTGCTTTATTGACCTGGTCAAGGCCTATGATACCATCAGTAGGCCTGGGCTCTGGGTTGTTTTTCGTGCTTTTGGAGTCCCTGACCCTCTGCTCACGATCATTAAGGACCTTCATGATGGTGAGCGGGCCCGGGTAAAACTACGTGGCCGGGAGTCAGAGCCATTCCCTGTACACCTTGGGGTGCGACAGGGATGTCCTCTGGCTCCCACATTATTTAACATCTATACTCTTCGGTTCTATTCGGTAAAGTCATGTGACTTTACCGAATAGAACCAAAGAGTATGGATCCTTGCAGTCACGAAAGCTTCAAATCTAGTATTTCACATCTATTTTGACCACGTAGTTCGTGAAGCTTTCAATAGCTGTACCGGGGGAATCTCCATTTGGTACAGATATAATGGGAGGCTGA